AAAAAAGGAAATGTCAATCTTGCAGCTACATTTTGCCTTGAAGCAATGGTAGATTTATTTTCATTTCAAAAATCAAAATTGTCAAAACAGTTGCAATTAATTGCTAATTTACTCCAAACATTATAAGAATGGAAATTTAATATTTTGCATTATACAAAGTGTTTTGTAGAATTATTTTGCAGTATTAAAACAAATATATCTGTGCAATTGTTTTAAGGGAAACCCAACAAGTATATTTTGAAATTTATTTTTCTCAATATGCTAGGATTTATATAACGGATTTCTCCCTTATGTAGTAACTGTCACATTTTTACTGCTGAAGTACTTCTGACTCCAAGCAATCAGGAAAATTTTCTGTGAAATAGGTTAATGTCTTGTGTGTAGTGATGACAGAAATGTTTGTTTAAAGAAGGGTAGAAATGGCATACCCCACAGGTAAAAAAACATGTTTAGCCTCTTTAGAAAAAAAAAACTATGTAATCAGAATAATTCATATTGTAGTGATCATATTAGTTTGCATTGACCAGTGTTGTTCCTTATCCTATCCATGGGTCCACATAGGTGCATTTCACTTCCTTAATAGTCACCCCATAATGTTTGTATGCACACATGGCACGGTACAGTTCACACTGGTTGTCTGGAGGGTAGAACATGAAGAATATATATAAATTACTAAGAGAAAAAATTGGGTAAAATCTAAAATAATATCTATTTAATCCTATTTATTAGTATAATGCAATAAACATACTAGTACTTATGGTCTTCAGTGATTAACAATAAAACAAATTCTTAAGAGATTTTTAAATTAAGAATTAAAAATTAAGAATTAAAAAATCTTACACTGAATTAGAAACAGAGGTTAACATTCCTAAAATATCAGAAAAATTTGTTCCACTAGGTAGATGACCATTTCCTGGCTTTTTAAAAATGATATAAATGATATCAACTATATTATGATAATATCCAAATACTAACTGTAGACCCCTCCATTTGAGGAGCAGTACTTTTTTGTTTCATAGGAGCATCCCCCAGCACATGGGTTAAATACAACTGTGCTGGGACAGGTTCCTTTGGAAACCAGAGTTAAGTTTCCTTTAAAAGCCACTGGCAAACTACTGTGTGTGTCACAAATGGCTTTGTAGAAACTGCATTCACTTGCTGAAAGGGAAGATATGAAAAAGACAGTAACATATTTGGTAATAAGCAATTAATGCAAATAAAAATGTTTGTCTCTCTCTTTCACACACACACACACACACTGACACATGCACGCACATACCCATGCATGCATGCAGGCACACACACGCACACACACACACACACACACACACACACACACATATACATGAACACCATCTATATCAAGAAAGATGCCATCCTGAAATCACTGTCTACCCAAAATGAACTTAAACAATGTTTACTGTAATAACTGCGTGATATGTGCCTTTCAGCATTTATAATTCAAGATCTTTGGACACATACTATATGTTTTTCCATCTGAACCACAATGGGGATCATATCTGCCAGAACATAGTCCATAGAGGTACTTCCTGCAGGCTTCAGCATGGCCAATGGCAGCAGGTCCAGCAGTGATGGGTTTCATGGTTGTAGTGAAGTGGCAGGTACTATAATACTGTACCTTCATCATTCCTCCTTTAAGGCAGTTTTGGTAATCAAATTCATTTCGACCTGAAAGTGCATAAAATGTTCATTCAACATGCATTTTTTGTTTATTTTTGCTCCAATGACACAGTTTTTTAAGGATATTCTTAATAGAAGTTTCCTTTAAAAAAATCTATCAATATGAAGTGCACAAACAGACATAACAAAAATAATCATTGACATTGGCAACATTTCTTACAATCACATACTTTCAAATGTATATCAGAATTTCTCTTTTCACCTTAAACTTCAATAAGTATACATTTGCCACATCTTTCATTACATTTATCAGTTGAAATAGATTATTTACAAAATTCTCAAATCAATATAAGAGTAAATTTTATATCTGTAGGCTATAGTGACTTTTTAAAACTTCAACCCAACTTACATTCATAAGTCTTCCCATCACTGCCACATACTTTAGAATGGTAGAATTTGCATGGTCTATTGCTACAACTATTAGGCCTGGCGGTACTGCTACAGCTTCCCTGATGTGCTACGCCCACCAGGGTATTAAATCTACAGTTCCAGTAGGCCAAATTCTTTTGACCTGAATAAAAGTGAGTTAAAATAGTTTTTAATGCATTATTTTGAATATAATGAATTCTAATCCATGTCCTCAATTCAATCTTGGAAAATGTAAAAAAAATTGATTAGTTATATAATTAAGAACAAATTATATGAAATAAAAATTGGTACATGTACCTTTTGCATTGGTTTTCCACTATCACAAAAAAGTTAATTCCAGGCACACTGTCATTTATAAACAAAATAATAGTTTACAGCATCTCTATATCATGTTATGTATATATTTATATCTCTGTCAACTTACATTTGTAAGTCTTTCCATCTGTTCCACATACTTCTTTGTCATAAGATGAACAGGGATTATAGTGACAATACTTGGCCTTGGTGGTGGTGCTGGGCATTTTTGTTGTTGAACTAATTGTGCTTTTCATAAAATTTGGTGTTAAAGTAGGTTTCTTAGTGGGGTGTGTCTTCATGGGGACTGTGGACAAGTATGCTGAAGTGGTTGTGTTTGGAGTCAAGGTTGTAGTGGTTGGCTCAATGGATGTTGTTGAAGTAGTTTTCTTGGTTGTGGTTTTGGTTTTAGTTGTTGGTTCCTTGGTTGTAGTGGATGGTTTGATGGATGTGGTAGTTGTTGCTGTTGTAGTTGTGGTTGGTTCAGTGGTTGTTATTGTGGTTGGTTCTGTGGTTGTTGTAGTTGTGGTTGGTTCTGTGGTTGTTGTGGTGGTTGGTGCCGGTGTAGTTGTGGTAGGTTTTGGGGTGGTTGTTGGTTTAGTGGTTGTAGTAGTAAGTGCTGAGCATTCAACTTCTGCAATTGCACTTATTTTTGCAACAGACAGACATGATGCCACCTGCAACTCACAAAGATTCCCTGAAATATCAGAATCTCAAATTATAATATCACAAATGCTAAAGCCAAAGGGAAAAAAATTAACTGGTTTAAGGTCTGACTTCATAATATACATTCCGAGAAGTCATAAATTAGATCAATCTTACAAAGGATACATGCTAACAATTTTCCACAGAGCTCAATATTATCTGAGATACTAACCATAAGTCCTTCCATCAGAGCCACACACAGGAGTGTATTCCTCTGGACAGGGACTGCTACAATCAGCAGGTAGCTGACTCTGGACAGCAACTACAAACAGTCAGAACTTAATGATTATTATAAATGAAAGTTGCATTTTAAAGTGTTGCTGCTTCTAAAATGTGAAGAAAATTGCCTTCCACTGAGAACTGCTCTGGAACAATGAAAAAAAAAGTTCACAGTTACCACAGCAGAAGAAAGTTTGAAATGTCTCATTTTAATTTTTAGCAAAGTAAACTTCAACTCTTAATGGAAGCAACATATTCCCCTAAATATAGAAATTTCATAGGTCATGAAATCATTCACATTTGGCACAAGGTGCATGAACTACTAATATAAACCAAAAATAAAACACATAACTGTATGGAATATGTCAGTCTAAATCTATAATATTAACAATAAACATTCCCAGAGAATGCAGATGTAAAATTAGATTTTTAAAAGAAATAAATACTAGACAGTTACCTGCAAAAGATAGAAGGACTAAAATAGCAGCCATTTTCTTCTTGAGCATCATGGAGAATTTGGCTTAAGTGCACGCAACCTCAACATAGTTATGTCACTGAAATCTTATCAAGATGTCATTTGAAGAGGATTTGTCATTCAAACAACCTTGTGTAGCTCAGTTATTTGGGTAGATGTTTCAAAGTCTTTTGACTTTTGACCACCCTTCTTAGTCTTAGGACTACAGGTAGTTTGTTTATATACACAGTCTTTATGTTTGACATAGGGATCTTACTTGACATAAGAAAACCATCAGATCATCTGATATATCATAGGGCTTAGGTACCTGGTATTTCTAGTAAATACATGCCTGTATCTGGACATGTAAACCTCATTCTCTTTGTTTGAACCATTTTACTAACATATCAAAAATGAAAGACAATCTTAAGAAATGGCAGAATGTTCTAAATAGAACACTTATGTTGTGTATTCACATAAAAGCATTTAATTAAAAGAACATGGGCATACTTGTTTCATAAGTGATAATGACCAGTGGTTGTACATGCATAATTCCACATTGCGTTTGTTGAGTTTTCAATGATTGCATGGGGATGTGTGCAAACAGCATTTTCTCTTGCTGTAATATATTTGAATGTACATTATCTGGCCAGTTGTGTCTTACATGTATCGCATAAAACTCATGCTTTTAGTCAGTAGTTTTATTTGAAGCTATCAATTGTCTATACGTAGATACAAATCTCCAACATTTCATCTCTAAACTCTTGGCAGTCTATTATATGTCTATAAAATGTTGGATAAATATGAAAGATATGGATTTTTCTCTTACATGGAGGAATTTTAACTTTTTTGATTCTACAGAGAAGGTTTGTTTTATTTTGTAGAGTGAAAAGTTGACCATTTTGCTTCATAAACTGGATGACTTGCTTCATGTACCAGTGCTTGTTAATTATAAGCTTGTTAACTATGATAAATACAATAACACTGTCAAATGTTCACAGCTAGCAGAAAAAAGTTGTAGATCTAAATGAAAAAAGTCCAAGGCCCATTATTTAGTTATTTAGTCATATATCATGTAGTGATAAATATCAATTAATCCAATGTCAAAAATCATGACACCAGCATTTTCTAGCTTTTATTCCAGATGTTGTCAAGTGGTGCACAAAATCACCAACTTCCATATATAGATTGCATTTGGTTATACAATTTAAAAATCCATCATATACTGCTGTGTATATATGGGACCTGGGTAGTCCAGTTACCCAATGATAGAATCAATCCAGCTGCAGGATCCTGCATACTTGACTTTAGGGTAGCCATTAGCTTTTCTACACTGAGCTTGAACAAGAGAACATCCATCTGCAAATTGAATAGCAAAGTAAGCCATATACTTCTGATTTGATCACTGAAACAATGCTCCTGTATATATGTATAATTATGTTACTTAAATGCAGCAAAAGTGCCGAATAATCAGGTGAAAGTAATGTCTGGACTGTACCAAGTTTGATACAACTTCTTACTGACTTAAGCAAATGTTTAATTTACAATTTCATAAATGACAAATAATTTCTTATTTCATTACATGATTACTACTTACTATATGTATTCCCATTGTTGGCACAGAAGCGGGAGCTAACTGAGCAATTGTTAGCCTTATAGTCAGCACAGGCCTTGGCAACCATAGCTGTGATCACAGGGTTGCATTTATCATAATAAGCAACTTTGACACTAGTTCCATTGCGGCAATTCCAGTAAGACAAAGCATTAAGACCTGGGAAAAGATGTTATTCATAAATACAAATGTGTGCATACTATATGGATATAATGATATAATCCTTTATATATAAACTAGCAATACCCAGGCACTGACCTCCATATACCGGTAGTCAACACACAAGAAAAAAAAAGGCTTCTTATTTCTATTTTTTTTTAAATTTTAAGCAGAGTTATTCATTTTAGCTTATCAAATCATCAATTCGTACTTGCCACAGATTTAAATGTTTATATCTAATTTGAATACTTCATTTTTCATATTTAAGATGTTTAATAAGATGATTAAGTATTGCTGAAATGCTTATCACAGTATATACTGACTGCTATCTATTCTTTAATACAGTTAGTTATTTCACAGTGTTTAATTCAATTAAATTGGATTATATTCTAATAATTTGCCAAGTCTGCTTACATTGGTATGTCTGTCTATCAGTGCCACAGACAGCAGAGCTGGATGAAGAGCAGGAGGAGGAGGGACAACATGTCCCCTCATACTCAACACTTACTGACTCATTGTAGAGGCAACTGGACCATTCCATGTGCTCCTTGCCTGAAAAAGAAGCAAGAGATGTAGGCGAAGAAAAGTTCCATTTTAATTTTCTGATTTTTTTACTGGTTTCATTCTTACCTGCACTGTATGGCACTGGCAAATGCAAGCAGGGATCAGTGCAACCAAACCTCCCATGGTTCACAAAATGCCTTAAGTTATCAATTTGTAATAAATTTTTCATCATCATCTACCTGTGCACTAGCTCATTTGTTCATCTCTGTCATGCTTATGAAAAAGTGGAGTTACTTAATAATTTGGCATGGCACTTTGGTACTCAATTACTAGTAAGTTACCCAAAAAGTCAACAGTCAACTTACAGTCATAATCCTTTCCATTACTACCACATATGGGCTTACTATCAGCTGGACAAGGCTTTGCAGGGCACTTGGCATAAGTTGCTGGGGGTGCCACACAGCTGCCATAATGCAAAGCAGTGATGTTTGTTCCATTTCTGCAGTTCCAGTATTTAATGTCATTCTCACCTGTAAGAGATACAGCGTAAGATAATCTTAGGTGTGATGCTATCATCGAGCTATGTGTAATTGATTCCATATGGTAGTAAAATATGTACAGTAAGTCATGAATGAAATTACTAACAATGAACTTGCAAATTGATGCAGATCTATAGATATTTCTTTAAATGAAAAAAAATTAGGCTGCCTGGGCAAATTAGTACTCTGCACCTTTTTTGAATTAAAAAACATCAGATCCAAGGATCATTCAAATTCAAATATCAGTATTCCTTGGCAACACAACATGAAACTGGGAGTATATGTCATCAGTTTGCAGGTGAGCAAAAAGAACTATTTACATAAACACAATGAATTTTTCAAGTTTGAAAGTACCCCTGTAAATGTAGGGCTAATCCTAATAACCTCTTCCCCTTTTAGTCACTCTTCAACCTTTTTTTATCAAAACACAGTTGCAGTTTTTCCCATCACTCCTGCAAACTGTCCGGAAATAAAATCATTATCTAACCTTTTCAGTAAACTTACAGTTATAGTTTTTCCCATCATTCCCACACACAGCTCTGGAGTAATAACCACATGAAACTCGTGAGCAACATTGCCATGGCAGCACAGTACGGTTATGAAGGCAGTTCATGTAGTCAAGAAATCCCTTACCTGAGTGTAAAAAAAACTCTTTGACTTTGTTTTTCACATAAAGTTTTTCAAATTTAGTTTAAACTGTATAACTGTGATTTGGAATCTGTGAAGATTGAAGATATCAAAAATACAGAATGTTTGATATGAAATAATTACTTTATTTGTACATTTAAGATAAAAAATGAAATTACTTTTGTAGACATATATACAATGAAAAGTCTTATTAATTGATTGATATGAAATTTGTTCTTTCAAAAAGCTATTTCACTTCTAATCAGATGTATTGATACAGCCAAAATAAAATCTGTAAACATCACTTACATGCATATTTCTTTCCATCATTTCCACAAATCTGAGTATCATTGCTGGAACATTCATTCAGGTCACATTTGGCATACTGGCCAGGTTTGGCAGTACAATACCCAGTGTGGACTGCCTTCACCGAGGAACCAAGCCTACAGTTCCAGTAGTCCAGGCTCTTCTGACCTAGAAGGGGAAAAATCTTATAAATTTTCTCCGAGATATAAGAATTACCTGATGCTAATAAGAAATGTAGGCATGCAGTTAATGTGAGAATATAACTTAAAATATCATCATTCTTGACTATAATTTTAGCTGTTAGACATCCTGGCAACTGATATCAAATAACACATGAAAAAATGCTGTCACATTCTGCAAATCAAGTATGAAATAAAACTCATGATGAAGAAGAGGATGATTCATTTTAAAAAATCCACAAGTTGAGTGTGGGTCAAAATTACTTTAAAACTAGAGGATCAGAGAGGCGATACCGCCTCCGAATATTGTACCACCAGCTGGACCAAGCGCATTCGTATAGACCCCCACATACACAAAATAAGGGACACAGCCACCAGT